TAATTTATGAGATATTTCATATTTTTATACTAAAAGATATTATTAGGATACAATGTGAAATATCTCAGAGAAAGTATTCCGCGATGATTTTTTACTTTAATACTTTTATGCATAGAATAACTTGAAATATCGACTTTTTTTAATCCATACGATTTCAATATAAAATACTATATTTAATGAAAAAATCGAAGTTGATCTTGAAATAACTTTTAAAAAACATTTTAATATTACAATAATATTATTACCATTCTCGAAATCTTACAAAACTTTTCCCTAAACAATTTTTCTGTATAATAATTTCTTCTGAAATATTTTAAGTGAACGTTTAAAATGAATCACTCTATATATGTAGAATTAGATCAAATCATTAGATTAAATATAGTGTACATGTCTTTAAAAATTACATAATTTTCTCCCATCGTCGTCAAATTTGCGATTATTGGGACGTTTATTTTAAGTTGAGAAAGAATTCATTAAGATCTGTATTCTAAACTCTCTTGTATCGCTAAAAACATCTTTAAAAATGACTTATAACCAGTCAGAAAGCTTATAAGTTTTAGAGGGACTTTTAGCAATCAAAGGGTTCAGCCTAAATTCTAAAGAGTATAGACCTAAAGCTCCTGACTTTACTCCTGCAGAATACCGAATTAATGACGTCAAAAATAAAAAAAAAAACACTATTTTGAAATAAAAAGTTATTTGTATGAAAGAACACTTCATATTGCTTGAACGTACTTGTAAAATGCTACGAAAACTATCCTTTTCCCTTGACAGTCAATAAATAGCCTTAAAATTAACATGGCAAAACGATCTCTCTAAAGCTAGCAGAGCCAAATCAGCAAAATAAAACCGGACCTACTACATTATTTAATATCCATTTTGTACTAATTTGTACCAGCAACAAAAATTGTACATCTTTCTCGTGTCGTGAAAAAGAACAGTGATACTGTTAGCTTAATATTAGGCTAGCAGAATAGCATGAAAAAGAAAAAAAAGAAAAACAAATACATAGATAGAAAGCCCCGAATAGTTCAACGCAGGCAAGATTTCTCGTTCGGCTATAACGGATAATCGGACAAATTTTTGGGTAGGCTCTATCGATTCCTTAGAGTCAATTTGCTTAATAAATCTATCTTTATATTTGTCCTACATAGTTCATGAAAGGAGGAGATATTTTAGTGGAAGGCTCGAAATGGCAAAATTTTGCGATTAAAAAATGTTCTACAAATGTCCATCTCAGCCTTTTTCTGTCAGAGGCGCCACTCAGCGGCGCAGTCAGTGAGGATAGATTACATGGTTAGATTGTCACGTGTTAGTGTCAAGAGACGCGGTAGTATCTCGCGCAAAACAAAGCAAGTGAGAGGAAGAATGTCATCCTCTTCTCGTTCTCACTCGCTGACGCGACCGTTTTCAAAGCAGCGAGTGAAAGAGAGAAGAAAAGGATGATATTTTCGCCTTTAAGGTCGTTCTACATTAGTTGCAAGCAGCCAATTGCATGCGACACTTTCCGGTTGTAAGCTAGTCGCAAACAGTAATCGCAAGGTTTGCCAAAGTCCAAAGTTTGCGCCTTTGCGATGTTGCGACAACCAATCAGTGTCGAGCTCCGCATATATAGGTTTATAACATTAACTTGTCTGTTCTTGTTTGTTCGCTTCCATATTTAAACGTAAGTATTGCTCTGCATGTTCATCTTGACATCAGTTCCTTTTTCCTGTGACAGAGTCTTATGGATGTTAAAGAAACATTCTTGTTACTGATTGGCTGTGACATGTGACCAACGATTAAAATGTAGAAGCTCATCGCAAGAATTTTGCGCCTTGCGACAATGCGATCTTGCGATTAACTGCTTGCAACTAATAGAACGACTTTTACTCGGCGTTTCGAAGCAACTGAGCGCTCGCATCGTATGTATAAGCCAAGTGTTTATAGAAGAAATACAGTAGTATCTTCTCTTAAATTAATACGCAAGTCTCGTAAAATTATAATTATTTTTTTAAACTTATGTCAAATTTGTGTATTTAATAGATATTCAATCATTTATGAAAAAGATGTGATATCCGAACAAATCTACTTTTTTTTTTAAAAAAAGGTGAAAAAAGACGCCAAGTTCACGCGCTTGCCTGCATGAATAGAATTATACAAAAATTAATGTTTCTATAAAAAATATTTTATTTGTAAAATAACACATTTAAAAATGTTAATAAGAAATATTGTTGTTTAAACTTCTATTTTTTACAAAAAAAAAACGTGATATTAGGTAGTTAGACCAAATGAAAATAATTCACGTGTTTCCTTACATGAGTAGAATCTTAAAAATATGTTCATATATGAAATATTTCACAAATATACTTTCAGAAAACAAATCTAAAGACGTTAAAACATATAATTTAAATTTCTATTTTCTACAAAAGGGATGTTAAAAGATAATTAGATCTAACGAAAATACCATTGCATATATAACAGCTTTGTTTATATTCACAACACATGTGGTAACTACTGACTTTTTTTATTGGTAACCATGTAAAAATTAAAATAAAATTAAGAGTCACACAAAAAACACTTGGCGTGCCCGTGGGCAGGGGGTATATAAATAATTTAAATATATTTTCTAAATAGTATTTTGTATCAAGCGCCGCGGCCGCTACGTATCGAACGTATTGTAAATTAATCTGAATAAAAATAGGTAAAGAAATAGGTTAAGAAGATGAATTGTATGTCACGTTAATTTACGACAAATTATTGATTGTTTATTAGAGCAAAAGAGGAGTGCACGGAATATCTTATAAATTTGTTTAATCGATTGTGTTACTTTATGGATATATATTTTTATTTTAACATATTTCGCAAAAATTTTTAGCATGCATTTTCTGACGTCATTAAAAAGAGATAAACAATGCAAGAGGCAAAGAGTTTTAGTATAGATTTCCTCATAGTAAATATATAATTTTTTTTAATAATGTACATCAAATTATTAGTAGCATTATAAACATTTATATTGAAGAATGATGTATTAATTGGGGCACGCCGAGTTTTGGATCCTCGATGTTAAGTTTTTCTCAATTTGATACTTGGATGTTTCAACGTTCCATTATTAATATTATTGATACTTATCACATAATTATTTGTATAATAAATACATACACGTACTTGGTTTATTATATTGATCTTACTTCTTTTTTTACTATAACTAATTTAAAACATCTACACTTTGATTAAGTTAACATGTACTTTTTGTTTTGTAGTTTTTGTTTTGATACGTTATCAATTTGTAAAATTCACTGCACCTTGTTGTAACACGAATACGCCAAGTGTTTTTGTGTGACTCTGGATTTTATTTTATCTTAATTTTTACATGTGTTAAACCAATAAAAAGAAGTCAATAGTTACTACATGTGGTGTGAATATACACAAAGCTATTATATATGCAATGGTATTTTCGTTTAATCTAATTATCTTTTAACATCCTTTTTGTAAAAAATATAAATTTAAATAATATTATGTTTTAACGTCTTTAGATTTGTTTTCTAAAAATGATATATGTGAAATATTTCATATATGAACATATTTGCTTTTATATAATTCTATTCATGTAAGAAAACACGTAAATTATTTTCACTTAGCCTAACTACTGATATCACGTTTTTTGTAAAAATTAAAAAAAATAGAAATTTAAACAACAATATTTCTTATTAAGGCTCTGATATCTCTGGGGCGGCCATATTGGTTTGATGACGTCTGAAGCGAGAAATGACATACTGAAATTCCCTTGCACTTTATTGCTTTATTTTTTTACTTTTTACTAAATATTTTCCTAATCCTGAAACCTGTAAAAAGTACAGCAAACTTAGATATCTGGCTAATATATCACGTAGTATCGTAAAATAATTCCTGAAATAATGCTACATTTTTCGGCTGTCACGGTGGTTTGATAGCTGAGATACCAGCCTGAACACATTTGATTTCTCGATTTTCACAATATATCACCAGTATCACTGAGTTTGCTGTACATTTTACGGCTCTGAAGATCACGATAATATACACACTTCACGGAGAAACTGAAAAATAACGCGATAAAATGCAAGTAATTTCTGAAATGTCAAGTGAGGTCTAGTGTAAGCCTGGCCGAGTGTCAGCCAGTTAGCTACACTGATATGGTTATTTCGTGTTCTCGATACTGCTAGACGTTACCGTCAACTCCGACTTTCTACGCGGAAGTAGCAGAGCCTTAACATTTTTTAAATGTGTTATTTTACAAATAAAATATTTTTTATAGAAACATTAATTTTTGTATAATTCCACTCGTGCAGGCAAGCACGTGAACTTGGCGTCTTTTTTTACCTTTTTTTTTTTAAAGGTTTGTTCGGATAAATATAGACGAAAGAGCATTTAAGATTACTTAAGCACATCTGTAAAATTATCTGAATGATATTTCTTTCCTTTGATGATCAATAAATAGTCGTATAATAAATGGTGAAATAAGTGTGTCTGCATGCTTCATTTAAAAATGGCACGCAACTTTCGTCAGCGTGTTATTTCTGATGTCATAAATCCAACATGGCCGTGGCGAGGTACAAGGAGTCTTAAGTACACATATGCGTTTATATTATACGCCAATAAAATTTGTTGGACGAATAAAATAAGTATTTCAATAATTTAGATTTTTATTGTTAAAACTTAGTCGTGGTATTTTATGTATATTATATATAAACAACTATTCTTTACCTCGTTTGTTCTGCTGCTTCTCACTTATTTTGCATTCTCAGATATTTTATGAGTGTTTTAGTGGTTTTATGAAATAAGCAGCAATGACTTTTCTATCGGAATAGAAATTATGAGATTCCGTAGCCAACCGTAGTAAAAGAGATATACTTATTCGTTAAAATAAATCTATATGTGTTCTCATTGTGAAACAGCTGAGAACGTTTGTATATATCACAACTATTAGAATAGAAGCGAAGTAGTTATTTGTTTATCTTTTCTAATAGATTTTGTTTCTACAGTTCGTTCATTAGAGAGGGCCATAACCAGCGGTAATTTCACCGTAGAGTCATGTGAAGTGATCAGATCTGAGTCAAAGGGCATTAGTAATTACGACACTGAGACGGAGTCGTCAGATAGCGAAACGGAAACTGCAGTACGACAGCCGAAAAAATTGAAGGTCGCTGGTCTTCATTGACGGGAATGCATTTGTATGTTCTTTTCTCAATCCTTTACTCGATACTTTATTTTCATATGACGATACTGTCCCATCCATTGTAAGTAATGTAAGTTAAGTATATAATCGTATGACATGCGTAAAATAGATTATCTAAATAAATGTTTATTAGATTTTGTCCTGTAGTATACATGTAATATAGCGTATATTAAGAAAACACGCCGAAATATATTAAAATGTCAAATAGCGAAAGACCAATCTAATAATATTATAGATAATAAAGACTATGCGTTAATTAGTTTGAAGAATATACATATACGTGATTAACTTGTTTTTTTCAATTATCCCTATATTATATTCACTTGTGCGAAAGAAAACAATTTTGAAGAACACATTGACATTGTACCATGTATCTTTTATTTTCAGAGTAATCTATGTGAGAGAGAGTGTACTGATTAAATCATGATAGAGATAAATTTATCGAGATAAGAGATTGATACATTGTAGTGAGCAAGTTTTATAATTACAGCATTTTTACAACTCATTAAAATTTGCCATATGCTATTATGTGATACCAGAATCAGACAAAATCTCGTGTTATAGTTTGAGCCAGGATACAATTTGTAATCTTCATCCAAGGAGAAAGCGTTGATGATGAAGTTTTATATTATGATGCGATCGTGTCGATCTACATGAGGGGAAATCCTAATCACGATGATGAAGGAGATAATACATTAAAGAAGTGTCATTAATTTATTTAAGTATGAGTTACTTTACAAACAGGAACTGACACGTTTAGGGTCCTGTTCGACGACGCTTAAAGAATTCACTAAGTTGAAACGCAGTACAGATACTGCCAACGGTGCGAATGTATCGGCCGTGCTAAGAATCCTAGATGCGACCAGCGAATTTGCCAGCTTCGATCTGCTCATCCCACTTCTCTACCCAAGTGATCGGGCATAACGACGTGTAGATCCTCTTAAAGTACTGGCAGGCATCATATTCCTCGCTGTGCTTCTTTTTGCATCGGTGGAAGTCTAAGAAGCTCTGGTAACAATATCTATAGATCATTAGACTCGATTAGCGGCATGTTGAAAGTACTCTTCGGTCTTGAATAAAAAAGCGGATATTCGTGAAATAAGGACTATGTTTACAGGGTTTCTAAACCGAGGTAAAACTAATGAAGAAACTAATGCAAATTCTTTTTTCCGTATTTTATTGTGAACACGCACATAACTTGCAAAATTTGTTTTCTTTCTTCAATTTACTTTTTAAACTGTCTTGGCATCTTTTGTGTGTGTTTTCTATTTTCTTCCACCAAATATATTTGATATTAAATAGAGACAGTGCAATTTGGTGTGACTAAAAAAAAACAGGTGTATATGTTACGATCAAAACCTTCCTTAATGTAATAAAAAAAACTACATGGAAATATTTCAAATTACAATAGTTACAGTATTTGCCAAACCTGATATCTCCATCCGCAATTTTTTGTCGGGAATTAACCAAATTAGTCGACTGGACTTAGAATCTGCCGGATATTTCACAATTTGGTTGCGCTTTCAATATTGGCCGTAACATGTGTGCGACGCGGGATGTTTTTTTTGCGCGACATAAGTATAATTTAGAAAAATATATAACCGTGTTTATATTTTAGTTTCCAACAATTTATTGAATTATTTCCAATAATTGACCAAAAAAGCGCTGCTCCAATCCGAAAGTCAGAACAAACATTACTTCACACCGCGAAAGCCTCAAATATTAAATATGTAACTGTATACTGTATACAGCGTTATGTATGCCTGGTTGTTATAACTAAAATTACGTATTTTAGACTTTATGCTTATACGTGCAAGGTTGAAAATCGTACAAGTAACCATAATTATAATGATCTAGTATGTATAAGTGAATGTATAGTGCGAATGAAACGTATAATGACGATTTTCGGGTAGAAATATTTAAATACGCGTTCAAAGATCAGATCCCATCAATAAAATTTCTTACTTTCTACATTCAAATTATGTTCTCTTGCAAGTTACTATCTTTCCATTTTTGTTTTTGATAATACTTAAATTATTTACTGACGGCGGTCATATTGAAATTATTGATCGGCTCATAAGCGATTTAAATCCTTACCTGGTCTGGTTCTGGTTGGGAAACCTAGGATCGAAGGGTACACTTGGGAACTGTTCTTGCAAGGCTTCCGACGGCTTGAACTTCATGCTTGCGGTGTTATAGGGCACTGCTTAACAAGTGATAAATTACTTATTATCTAAATCTTAGCGCAAATTCTCGCGTCGCGTCTAACCCTTTCTCTCTACTTTCACCTATATCTCCTTCAGGATACGTTCGCAAAGATAAATTCATTTCTCGCTCTCGTTCTTTCATCTCTCAAAACACACACGACACTATATCACAAAATGAATTCGCTTCTCCCGGCACTTTTTCCCTTTTCGTTGTGTATCTCTCTTTTTCTCTTACTGTCTATATGTCTCTCTCTCTCTTTCGCTGTCTATATATATATCTCTCTCTTTCTCTCGTTCGAATCGTTACAGAGCAATCTCATTGTATCTTACAAGAGTAAACACGAGGGCTCGCGGCGAAACGAAACGAACGAAAGGTGCCTCTGGGAGTAGCAGTCCCTTATACGATATCTTAATAATTAACAATAATTAGCTATATCTTAGAAGAAGAAGAAGAAGAAATAGTAGAAGAAAAAGTAACGAGCCGAAGTGCATAAAGAAAACATTACACGGGACGTTCGCGGGACTATTTGACCAACGGTCGCGTATTGTCTTCTTCCTGGCAGCAGACTTCGCGATACTTCTTCACCTCTGCCATGTATAACGACCACGCGTCCTTCGGCTGTTCCACTGTCTGTTCCGCCTTCGGCTTTGCCACCATGCCAGTCTTTAGGATTCTGCCGCCTCTCCTCTTGCCGACCATCAACGGCGGCGGCACTACGGACTTCTCTTCCAATACCGAGGTGGTGGCTTTCTGCGCGGTTGGCTGCATTTGCTCTTGCATTTTCTTGAACATTTCCATAAAACTACCGTCATTCTTGAAGGCGTTTGGTTGTGGGACGATCATCGCCGTCTGATGCATTGCCGCGCCCGCGCTCGCGCCCTCGCCGTGATCCTCTAACGCATCCGACTCATACGAGGGCGCCCTGGTGTGATGTCTGCGGCTTTCTCTATACCTATGCCGATCTCTGCTACGGTTACGGCTGCGGCTACGTCTCCTATCCCTCGAACGGGATCTACCGCGCGACCTCGATCGTGATCTATCTCTTCTCGAGTACTTGCGCGATCTCTCTCTATCGCGATCACGATCCCGTTCCCGGTCCTTGTCACATGAACGCGAGCGTCTGTGAGAGCGCGCTGGGGATGATTTGGAGCCGCTGCGACGACGTTGCCTACGTCGCTCCTGAGACGGTGAATCGTTCCGTGAGGATCTACTGCTTCGGTGGGCGTAACTGTCCGTGCCGGGCGAGGGCGTACGCCGCGAGCTGCCTCTGCTCTTGTGGCTATCGTGCTGTTGTGATGTACTGTAACCTGTGCTATACATGGGGGGCGAGGGCGGAGCGGGTGGCGATTCGGTATTCGACCTGCCGCTGCGTTCGTACCGCTTTGAGTCCATTGCGCTGCACTGGGCCGTACTGATGAACGGACGCACACGGACACACCTATAAGGATAGAAACTACCTTCCATGAGTACACGGCTCATTTCGGACCATCGCGCCTTCATCTCTGACTTGGACTTTTTTTCTCTTTAACTGTATATTCGCGAGAGAGATATATATAGACAGACTTTGAGCGAGAGAACATGATATAATTAAGTAGATTAAGTGGAAATAATTAAGATGAAACCATACAGAGAGAGAGAGAGAGAGAGAGAGAGAGAGAGAGAGAGAGAGAGAGAGAGAGGACACTTCGCATTGAGCGATATAGCCTTGCCTGCAACCACCAAGCTATGAGTCATTGCATAGTATAATCTTTGAATCACTTACCAAGTTCTATCATGATAAAGCTTTTACTTAATATTTAAGCTATTGTAGGTTTTTAACAGTACATATTAAAAGTACAAAAAGAAACACAGTATGGTGATCGCACAACTTGACAGTCTGCCTCTTAGTGCGAAGGGACATCTCAAGAAGAGAGACCAAAGAGGATAGAGCAATTTCCTGTACTTATTGTCTGTTATTTCATAATGTTGCAAATACAAGTGTTTAGAAAGTATAATGAGATCAAGATCATTGATCAATGATGGATTTAGAGCTTAAACTTCTATTGCTAATCAACTTCTATGTATGTCGCCAGTTTGTCTCGAAAATTCTTGGTTTCCGGAAAAGACCATGTAGTTAGAGATAAATAGGGAACGAAAGAATGAAGATCCGTTTAGGTGATTCAGGAGGCGACAATGGGGTATTTGAAGGATTTCAGAGGAAACATAGCTTTAGACCTTGAGGTGATGAGGAAAATAAGAAGGGTGTAGAGGTCAGAGGAAAACGCGTGCCGTCTCTTCAACGACCTTCTTCGAGATTTACTACCGGGGTGGCGACAACCCTTCTACGACTATTTGCTTTGTGCAAGCGGACGTGGCCGCCTCGTCGAACGTCTCGCTGGATCGCCTAAAGTTTTAACACTAATTATCTATATGTGTAATACCTTAATCAGCCAGTGCGGTCGAAAACAAAATGGCCACTAAGAAATACTGCGCCAGGCAACGACTTCGTTACGTCATGCACCTCGAGAAGACCATACACGAATCTAACTCGGCAACGAGCCACCACGAACTGTGTATAAACATAGATTAGCCGTCGTACTAAACTATATCAAAACCATAGATATAAAAAAAAACTGAGATGGAACGTGAGTTCGAGGCATAGGGGCCATATTGCATACAATATTTCAATGAAAAGCTATAGTTCATGTGACGTATACTATAACTTTTTATCGAAATATCGTATGCGATATTTTTCGAGAATAAGGCCCCAGACTTCTAGGCTATGTTCTAAAATTCTACTCGATGGGGAGACCCGATTGATCACGGTACGATTGGACACAACCAACCGATATAAAGAATTATCTAGTTAATTACCAGGTCGAGCCAATCATTACAATCTATGTCCAATCGTACCGTGGTCAATCGGGTTCCACCTCTCGGTGGGTAGAGTATATTTAGGTTGCTTTCCAACAAGTCGACACTGTTACGTCCACGATAGATAACTATATAGGGAAATTTGAAAGTAGTGAAATCAGTGACTTACGTGGACGGTCAACAGAGTGATGGCTCCGCTTTTGGGTCACTCTGCTTTTCACCGAGTTTACCCTGGGTCTCGGGAGCCTGGCGAAACGATTGATGAATCTGGCGAAAAGTCAGCGGTGCTTGTTCTCCTGGCTCGGCCTCGGATGTTCCGATACCACGCGGGTTGATGCGGCCCGCGATTCAGAATTTGATTTCGCAACGTTTGAAATATGAAGGGTAGGCAAAAGTAATTGCAACACAGTCGGATTTTACGACTAAGTATAATATACTGAATAAGTACATGAAGCTACCAGAGACTAACTATGAGAAGAAAATAATTATATATATTGCCTTCTCTACAAATGCGCGCGCTTTTATACGTCGCTTTGTCGCTGAGAGTCGTTCTCCGATTGGTCCATGGAGTTATGGCGAGGGAAGAGATTCATTCCTTTGCATGATGTCACCGCGTCGGTGTCCTGAGTGGTGTTTAGGATTCAGCTTTCATGCTCCTGTTTATGTTGGCTTATCGCACTGAGCGATAGCGGTTTCTTTGGGTCGATCCGAGATCCGTCGATTTCGAGACTCTCCAGCAGCACGCAGCATTCGGCATTTTAATTATAATGTTTTAACGCTCGCGAATATGCATATGCGCACGTACTTACATCTAGTAACATAGGGATATAATATCTAGTGATGTCTGAAATCAGACAAGTCGGCCTCCCGGTCTATAATAATATATTGTTAATGTTCTAAAATAGATCCGGACGTTACAACACAAACATTATTTTGGATGTTACGTGTAGCAATCGGATTAATCACAGTGATGTAAATTGTCTAGAGAGAAAGTTCCCTAGGCTAATCGGATTACCAAATCGTGTCCGTGAAGGCCAAATCATACTAGCGATTGGCGATTGACAATTAAAGATTAGATTTTAACGAATGAATAAGCTTCAGCCTTGGCTTGCTTTGTTCCAATTGGTCAAGTTCCAATCTTCAATCGTCAGTTCAATCATCAATCGCTAATCGCTAGTGTGATTTGGCCTTGAGAGACGGATCGGACTTTTCACGTAAACTTGTCAGCCGTGAAATGTGCTGGCGGAAAAGTGAAAATCTAGTGACATGATGAATACGGAATATATTATGATACTGCTGTGATGAGATACAGAAAACATAACAGTCCTAAGGTTTTAGCGATGTTTTTAAGGTTATGTGTTCATAGCCGATGGATACAGCTGTTTTGGCCGATATTGAAATCATATAGGAACCATGTTTAGTGACTTGTGCTTTTCACGTATAGAGTTATTTGATTGCGTGAACAATGAAAAAGTTCACGTGAAATCGATAGAGTGAAAAGTGAAAAGATTCGCTCGAAGTTACGTGATCGCTACCCTGGGCTGCGTTCCAAAATTCTACTTGGTGGGTAGAGTACATTTAATTGACCAATTTTGATAAAAAAAATCCTAATTATCTTTGTTCTTATTGATCAATGAAATGCTACTCTACCCGTCGAGTAGAGTTTTGGAACATAGCCCAGTGAGCAGTTGTAGTACTAGATGCATTCGTTGTATTTCATAGATGGAGACACTATTGTTTTGTTGACATCTGTTTGAAAATTAACGTTCAGTAAATTGACGGGTTCAGTAGTTATGTATCAAAGACAACGAGGGTGAAAGATCTGGAATAGAAGGATTGTATACCAATTCAGAAGGAAAGACAACAACGATTATGACGCGTGCGGTAGAGAATAATATGAAAAATATATTCTGCAATGCGCAGTTTAACAAAACAGACCATCCACGATACATGAAAAAACTTACTAAGCTATACGAAAGAGTGAGTGAGAATTACGTTGTTCTTCACAAAGTAAATTTTAATTTTAATTCGGCTTTTTTGTTCTTAAAATATATGACTTTAATTTTGTTCTTTAACTACGTAAAACAGTTACATAGTCAAACTTCCCACTTGGTTTTATTTTAATTTTATGAATATAACATATATATATATATATATATATATATATATATATATATATATATATAAAAAAAAAAAATATATATATATATATATATATATATATATATATATATATATATATATATATATATATATATAAAAGAATAACATATTTATGTATATATATATAGACAAATTTAATTTTTAAATTTAAAATTCACTCAAGAGAGAGTGCGATAGCATACATACAGTAGTATAAAATAACCTGTTTTGTTGGTCATTCAGTTATATTTATTCAAACAAATTTTGAAAAAAATCTTAAATTTTCAACAAAATTGGTTTTGTAACTTTCTATCCTTCTTTTAGACTGATTTAGATACATTCTGGAAATGTTTTCTTTCGTGCTTGAAAGTGCCTCTCATGATGGCTCAACAACACCCACGTATTATAAACACATTGGAGTTCTGTGCTAAATTCTCTATGAGCTTGTGTTCGTGTACAGAGAGTGAAACTACAGAACCAATGCCACCATTTGTCAACAAATTATTCACATTTCTCTTGTCAAGTCATAATGCAAAAGACAAGGCAATAAGATATCGCATCTGTCATTTCTTGAACATGCTTCTAAACTCTATGGGTGATCATGCTTTCATTGATGACAGTCTATGTGACCAAATTACAGTCAGCATGATGGATCGATTGCTGGACAAGTCTCCTAAAGTTAGAGCACAGGCAGTTTTTGCCTTGCACAGACTGCAGGATCCATCTGATGAACAGTGTCCTATAATAAAAATGTATTTGTTTCATCTATCTAAAGACCCACAGGCTGAAGTTCGCAGAGCTGTTCTCGCGACCATGGGAAAAAATCAAAAAACCTTACATGCTGCATTGAAGAAAACACGTGATATTGATGACTCTGTACGCAAGATGGCATATGAATTTATCAGCAAGATTACAGTACGATCCTTGACAATTGAACAAAGGGAACGCTTGTTAAAAGATGGTCTTAAAGACAGATCTGAGAGTGTTAAAACATGTGTAGGTAATGTTTTGTTACCAACATGGCTACGATATTATAAGGGAGAATATATCAACTTCATACATGCTCTGGATGCTGGAATAGGAACAGAGACCGCAACTTTAGCTTTACAAACATTATTCAAGTAAGTCTAAAAAGAAGGGAATAAGCAAAAATATAGTTTACAGGATGTCTAAAGCCCGTATCAGACTACGGATTGAGATTGAATTGAAAATTGGCCAATCAGAGCAATGTTCACCAAACTTGAGCTTAGTGAATTTTGCTCTGATTGACTAAATTTCAATTCAATCTCAATCCTAATCTATAGTCTGATACGGGCTTAACAATTATTGACACATCTATTATGTTCAGATAGAACTCATCAAACTGAACATAAAATTCCTCTACTATTTCGCAACAACAAACAATAGTGTAAAATTTTAAGTTATTGATTAAAGAAAATTTATGATTACGCATGACATGATAGGTTGGAGATGTCTGTCATGTGCTTGTATATGAGATTAAATTAAATACGAAAATTATCCAACATTTTATAAATGTTCACGTAGATTTTTAGTTACTAATTAAAATTGATGCATGATTGATAATTCATTAATTCTCTTTAATTAATAACTAAAAATCTACATGGATATTTGCAAAATGGTATAAAACTTTTCTGTTGAGTTTAATTTAATGTAAAAACGTACAGCAGCAGATATCGTCATTAATTTCATAATTTCAGCTAATCTATTATATCGCGTGTGATCACACATTCACCAATCTTCTTTAATTAATAATTCAAAATTTCATTGTTGTTTGTGAAATAGTAGAAGAATTTTATGTTAAGTTTGATAAATTTAAAAAAAATTTTGTCATTTTGCAAAAATATTTTTGAGTTATTAATTTATAGAAGATTGGTAAATAATTATGCGAGATTGTTTGCCAATTTTCTTTCATTAAAAATCTACGTGATTATTTATAAAATGGTAGAAGACTTTTTAGTTCAGTTTGACCTAATGTACAAATATACAAGGGAAATTGTTCTTACTGTCATATTCTGCACTGCATCATGCGCAATCATTCACTAAACTACTTCAGTCAATAACTAAAAATTTCATGCAGTTTGCAAAATAGTAGAGGACTTTTATATTTAGTTTAATGAGTGTTACTCACACACAAATGGATGTGCAAGTTGTGTCCAGCATTCTGTATATCTGGCAGTTTTTGCATTTGAATACTAATGTCTTTTACTTGTTACTCAAATTCTCGGATACTTGAAAATGTTGCGAGTAACAACCTGTTAATATTCTTCTATCATCTGTTATTAATTGTTGTGATAGTTGATTTTTAATTAATTGATTTTGTTTGTTTTTTTCTTTTTTATTCTTTTGAAATATTGTCTCTTAATTATTCTAGTAATTTTCAAAGTTTCCCGGACATCCGGGAAATACCCTAAAAACTCAGTCATTTAGTCAATATTAGTATACTTAGGTGTCTGAATTCTCAATCCTTCTGCTTTTGTATAAGTCACTCTTGTATGAGTAATGCTCAGTTAAAATTTTATTTTCTAATTATATAAAAGTGGTTTAATAATTGACTTTGAAACTTCCTGATTTTTCATTTACAACTTTTAGATTATACTTATATGGTGATGCGTTTTCTTCATTTTTTAAGTATAACTTTTAGTGATAGATATTGACCATTGTTCTCTTATGAGTCGAGTGTTCAGTTGAAATTTTATTTTCTAATTATATTAAAATGGTTTAACTGGCGTTGAAATATTCTGACTTTTCGTTTACAATCTTATACATTATATTTGTATGGTAATTTTCTTAATTCTGTTAGTATAATTTTTGTTAATAGATTCTGAAAGTATTAGCGCGCGCTCATAGTGAGATGTGAAACTAATACGGCTAATTTGCTGTTATCAAATTTAAGCTTCACTTTGGTCGATAGGTCGATAATAAATTAATATTTTAATACATCCACTCGTTTTTATGAAGCTGTACGAATGCAATAATAATTAAATTTGATAATTATTTACAACTCGGACTTTTCCGAATTTTGATTTTTTGCGGCAATCTTGCTAAAAGTATTTATTGTCACTGCGACAGTGATAATCGATGAGGGAAGCGTGAGAAATATGTAACCTACCTATAAAATACAACAAATGAGCAAAAATTGAGAAAATATTCTTGTCAAGGACTTTGTTAATCTTTTGTGTTAATTTATTTTTAATATATTGTACATTTATTTTAATATATTGTAATATATTGTAGAGAGAGAGAAAATAAAAAAAAATATATATAAGTTTTATAAAATAACTATAAAATAATATACATTAACATAATTAATAATTCATGATACGTCCCATCTTGCGTCAGGGGCCTTGTTAATCTTTTCTATTACTCTATTTTTAATATATTATAAATTCATCTATTTAGTAAGGCAAAGATTTGATAATTATAATATATTCCACCTTGCATTAACAGTCTTACATTTTTATAAATATATCTATTAAATTTTCTTTTTACTAAATAAATGAGTCTACAATATACTAAAAATTGTTAATATCGAAAAGATTAGCAAGACCCCAAGGGAGAATGTTCTACTAAATCTTCGTCTTACTAAATGTATGAGTCTACTATATACTAAAATGGATACTGAAAAGATTAACAAAATCCCTGCGCAAGGTAGGACATGTGAATCATATGCAAAAACAACATACGTTTAACACATGGACATAGTATACGTGGACTTCGAATGCCCTATATTCTGTCGTTTAATAGAGTGAAGCCAACATAGAAAGAGAGCGAGAATAGAGGGGCTATAGTTTTCTTCCTATTTTGTCACTTTTTTTTTGTCGCGTGTGCATCCATTTCTCGTTTCCACAATATTATAGAGCGCAACAACACTCCTAGACTAGCAAGTAAACGTCTTACTTAAATCTTATTGCACACTTTGTCTGTGCAGAAAGAGACAGAGAACAGAAGGGCTGCATATTGACTTCTTTTTTCTGACTGTATGCGGAGTCTATGTATATTATATCTATGGTCTCTTTCTACATGTTGAGTTCACTTTTCTGGCCGTATGCAGGGTCCATATATACTACGTCCATGATTTAATACTATGCGAGATACATTTTTCTTTTTTTTTTTAGAATGTTATTTTTGCCAAACCGAGAGGGGGGAGAGGCGAAGCCTCCCGCGAACCCCTCTTGACTAGGGACTTTGCCCGCTGGATCCCCAGTTCATCGTTTGCAAATGTTTAAATAATACTAAAGTTTCAATAATGCTTCGTTACCCATGCATATTCAAATATATTTCTAATTCGTGCACTGTTCGTATGTACATGTGGCCACAGATTTTTCCTATAAAAATCGTAAGCTTCTCTTAAAATCTTGTATATATGTCTTTTTGTAGCTATTTCTGTATTTCAAGTATTTCAACTATTCTGTATGTCAAGTACTACAAAAAAAACCACGGTTTTTTATGGAGTAGCACTTCTGAACATTTACTCATACAGACATGATTCATACGTTAGAAAAAAAAAACAATAGGTAGGTTACATATTTTTCGGGCTCCCCCCATTGATTATCATTGTCGCAGTAACAACAAATATTTTTAGCAAGATTGCCGCAAAAAAATCAAAATTTGGAAAAGTTGGAATTGTAAATAATTACTCTAAATTTTTATTTAAAAATTTAATAATATTTCTCGCGACATTTTTCGCTTATACGAGGACACTAACGTTTGTCAGTCAAAGAGGCAATAGAAAATTAATTACAATTTTGTATATATTAAATATTATTTTTTCAGAAACGCAGATCTGAAAACTTTGTTAGAGCAAGTACCAATAGATAAAAATACAAGATTGATTCCACTGTCCAGTTTGTCAAACGAAAATGTTTTATATTGGAAATGTGTAATAAATCATCTCTATCATTTGTCGCTCACAGAAGAGTTAGAATTAATCATCCCAGAATTAACTGGTTTTTGTAACTATATACGAGAATTTATCGCTTTCATATCGTCTAAGCAATATGAAGAATGGGAGAAACAGTGTCACAAATTTATTCTTCTACAACTCTTCGAGATAACTGAAAAATATGATCTCTCAGACGAAGTAGGAAGAAAAAATCTGCAGGAAGTGATAATAGACACTTTGATGAGCGATTATTGTTCCAATAAAATAATTGAATGTATAGTAGATCACCTGGCCAAGGTAGCGTTGAATATTAATAGTATGTTGGATTTAGTAGCTAACGTCATTAGCGAGACAAGGCTACCTTTGAAGGAAAGTGCACTCACTCAACAAATTTCTGAAGAACAGCAAAAAGATAACAATGTACAGGTACATGTAAAAACTTGCTGATAAATTTGATATTGCGGTATAGATAAATTTGTCTAATTTCTTTTTGTCAATCTACCTTTAGAAAGCGCAACTGAAGGTTGACTTGTTGGAGCTCGAAGAGGAACTGTATGAAACAGTGAAAAAAGAAGATTTTCTGAAAGCAGACAGCATAAAGGAAAAAATTACAGCTTTGAAAGAGAAAATAAGTCAATTTTCTAAGATTCCCGAAGCGATAATAGCCGACGATATCCGCGATGAAAAAAATGATGCAGACACGATGACAAAATGTCTCGGAATTCTGTGCGCCGCGATGCAAGTTCAGTCCATTCGCGCATTGACACCTACACTCAGAAGTATGATGTCTATCGTATTGGACAGTCTTGACGTGAGTATACATTACACTGTGTTAAGACGTGCTTTTGCAATTATTTAACGCGATAAATTGTCTTTTCAGCATCCTGCCGATAATGTGCATGTGTTAGCACTAAGAGCATTAGGTCTATATTGTATTTTGGATAAAGAAATGGCTAAGAAACATCTTATGATATTTTTCTATCAATTCTCCACGGAGCAAGAAAATCCAGATATATGGATAATTGCTTTAAAGGGAATATTTGATCTCTTGCTCGTTTATGGCTTAGAGTACTTTGAGATTTTGCAAACTCCTGAGGAGAGGTCTGAAAAGAACCGCATACTGTACACGCATGAAGATAGCGTTGTCTCATTAAGTCAGCGTACTGAAGAGAGCACTTGCAATTTCGTTAAGATATTAACGGGATTGCTGGATAACGTGGTATAGTAACATTAGCACGGTTGAATCATGTAACAATCGAATCAGAAATTTTTCATACAGTAATTTTTTCCGCTGGACATTTACAGAATCAGGAATTACGTACTACCGCCACGGAAGGTCTCTGCAAGCTATTGCTCAATCGACGAATCAGCAGCAGTAGTTTGGTGTCGCGCTTAATAATTTTATGCTACAATCCGGTCAATATCGACGACATTCACTTACGACAGTGCCTGTGCGCTTTCTTCGATCACTTCGTGATGCGTGTGCCTGATGCAGTAGAAATGCTTGAAAGTGCATACTTTCCGACTCTGCGAGTTCTTTGCGACGCGCCGGACATTAGTCCTTTGCAAGAGGTTGATACGTATCATGTTTCCAGATTTATATTGAGCTTAATCAGACGAAGTAGTCAGAAGTCCGGTGAGCAGACGTTCTACACGCACAACAATCTAGCGTTCGCCATACTAGCCGAAATCCTGGATCCCAATTGCAAAATAGATCAGGAGACTCTTATTAAATCTTTGACAAATTTGTATATACAAATCGAGGATGGTCCATCGAAGGAGAATTTACAGGAAGCCATCGAGAAAGTTACAAAAATGGTACGTCATTTCTCACTGCGTTTCTCGTTTTTCTGAATCTTTCAAATAATTCAGTTATAGAGTTATCATTAATTATTATTTATATTATTTATCTAATAGAAATGTTAAGATATCTATAAATGGCAATTCAGAAATATACTGTGATAGTTTAAAATTATGTTCTTTGATTACAAAATGCATAATACAAGATGTTCCATTTTAATGGAAACAGCTATATATTTTCTAAACTTGACGTATAAAAAAAGTCTCAGATAAAGTTTTAAGGTTTCAAGAAAAGCGTATGATATTAATTTTGTGGTGGATATACTAAAATCTTTTCAAAGTTAATTTAAAATTTTCAAATGGAATTCTATATCAATTCTTTTTTTTTTTTTTACATCGATCCCTAGAAAATTATTTTGCACATAAAAATACTGGAGTAAAATCATCGAAAAGTGAATATTTTCAGAGTTATTTTACATTTTATTCTGATATTTTTCTATACAAAATGTAAAAATATTCATTGTAAAATATTCATTGTAAATATTTTATTGTAACATATTTTTCGACTTTGTCTTAATACTCTTATACAGGGTGAGGCAATAATTATTTATCACCTTAAATATTTTTTAATCCATGTAGTCCAAAGGAAAATTTGTGTAACCAAATAGCATAGTACAAAGGAGGCTAAAATATGGCGATAATGACCTTTTCTCCAGGTAGAGGTACTTCAGAGATATCAAGGTCACCTTTATTTTTTTAAAATCTTTAGAATAGAATAGAATTTTTTTAGATAGAATTTTAAATAGAATAGAATACGTTTTGTTTCCATCATATGATGAAGGGCTCAAAACAAGTTTAAAACGTATAACAAGATCATTGAACAAGATTAAAAGTAAAAAAATGATAAAAATACGTTTTTCAAATTAAGTGAATTTTACGTTTATAAAAGATGTTTGAAATGATGTTTGAAATAATGATTAGCAAGATCCCAAGGGAGAATGTTCTACTAAATCTTCGTGTTACTAAATGTATGATTCTACTATATACTAAAATGGATACTGAAAAGATTAGCAAAACCTCTGCGCAAGGTAGGACGTGTGAGTCATGCAAAAACAACGTTTAACACCATGCGAGATGCATTTTTCTTTTTTTTTTTATTAGTGCAACATTATTAGTGCATCATTATTAGTGCAACATTGGATTCTTCTGATCATTGATTGACCTGCTCTTCTAATAACGTTGGGAGCTATTGATACACAGGCAATAATCCGTTCTTGCATGTCTTGAGGTGTAGTTCGTTTGGTTTTGTAAACCATGTTTTTTAGGTTTCCTTGTAAGAAATCCAATGGTGTCAAGTCTAGTGAACGAGGTGGCCATAATACAGAACCACGTCCAATTCAAATTTACAAATATTTCATTGAGTTTATTTCTTGCAAACAATGAAAAATAAGTCGGGCATCCATCGTGCTACTACAACATTGTTTGTCGTGTGATTAAAGGCAAGTCTTCTAACAAAAGACTTAATGAATGCTCAAGAAAATTAGCGTAGCTATTACCATTTAAATGTCCGTCGATGAAAGGACCAATAATTTTGTCATGTATTATATCGCACCATACATTCAAAGACCATTGCCTCTGATGTTCGACTTGCCGCAGCCAATGAGGATTTTCCGTTGCCCAGAAATGTATGTTATGCAAGTTAACATTCCCGCGATTAGTAAATGTTGCCTCATCAGTAAATAACACAGTATCAAAAAATGAATTATTGTTTTGAATTTGATGTTGAACCCGTTGACAAAATGTAATTCGCTTCACTAAATCCATTCCATGTAATTCTTGAAGAAAGTTAATATGGTCCGGATGGAATTTGTGATAATGGAATTTGTTTCTGGATTCCAATCAATTTGTGCGAAGTAAGCTCTTCTGACTAACACCAGATTCTTCTTCAATTTGTCGTGAACTAATTTGAGGATTTCAAGTCACCATTGCGAGAATATTAATTTCATTTCCTTTATGTGTTACTTCCTTTTTACGTTCACTTTTTCGGATATGTAAGCTATCAGTTTGTCTAAGTTTATCGCAGATTTTTAAATGTTCGACGAAAAGGCTGAATACAATCAGGATATCGTTCAGCATACAAAGTTTTCGCTCGTACAGAATTTTGTTGACATTCTTCATAAATGAGGATCATATCAACTTGTTCTTCAAGTGGATACATCTTGCACGATGAACTGTTTTATCGATACTAATCTGTTCATATTTATAATATCTTGTATATGAACGTATTAAGATGTTCTCCAAAGTGTTTGTTTTCTTTTCTTGACATATCTATCTTCATTGAGATGGTATCATTTCAATGGAATAAATACTGTTGAAAGACATTTTAACATTTCTCATCTTAGCAAGTTCTCAGGACAAACTAATAATAAAACAAATTTATAATACTACTTTAATACTACTTTAATACTACTTTAATATTACTATAATACTACTTAATAATACTACTAAATATATAATAAACTAATAATAAAAACTAATAATAAAATAAAATGAAAATCAGTCAATACGTTGTACCCCTACTTTTTTAATCGCTTTTTTACTTTTAATTTTGTTCAATGATTTTGTTATATGTTTTGAACTTGTTTTGAGCCCATCTATCATAGATTGAAACAAATCATCGATTCCATTAAAAAAAATGAAGATGACCTTGATATCTCTGAAGTCTCCACCTGGACAAAAGTCATTATCGCCATATTATAGTCCTCTTTGTACTATGCTATTTGGTTACACAAATTTTCCTTTGGATTACATGGATTAAAAAATATTTAAGGTGGTAATAGTTATTGCCTCACCCTGTATATAATGACGATAGAAATTGATCGGTGGTACTAATTTTTGTACACTGGTATATACTAATACATTAATGAATTTGCAAACGCAATTTATTTAAGATTTTTCTATCTTTCTATAACAATTGATTTAATTTGTCATCCTATGTGCAAAAATATTAATGTGAGATTGTCAAAAAATATTTTATGAAATATTTTATATATACATACATATTTACTAAATTCATATTTTGATATTGTACTAAAAAGTATTAGGATAAAATGTAAAATATTTCGGGAAGTATACATTTTTTAAAATTATTTTTCTCAGTATTTTTATACACAAAACGACTAGGAATCGATTTATGTTAAAAAATTATATCATCCCATTAAAGAAATTTAAACTGACTTTGAAAAAAAAAAAACTTTAACGCGTCCAAAATAAATTCAAATCAATGGCTGCGAGAAAGCAGAGAAAGCTGCTTTGCAACTGTTGTAAAATTCGTGAATCTGATTAGTACATGCTCTTGGATTTAATCAAAATTAAGAGCATACTCCAATCAGATTCATGAATTTTACAACAGTTGCAAAGCTTTCTCTGTTGAACACCAATAGTAAGGATGTGTCAGATACTGAATTTGCCGGATACCGGATATAACGTGATATCTATATAGGATGTGCCAGACTCTCCTTCGCATATTTTGTGAAAATATAGAACAGGTTGAGGTAAACATAAAAGTCCTATACCGTTTTGCGATATTCGCAATAATAACCGAAAAAATTAATTGTAAAAGATTAAGGAGAAACGTACGCTGAATCGTTGAGGGAGGAGCACTCGCGACCCAGTAATGTAGCAGGCAGATGTTAGCGCGCGTCTTATATTGCTATGATTACGTCTTATCGCACTGCGCCGAGTCGAGATGTAGGAGTGCAGCGATATAAGTACAGGCAACGATACGTTGTTTTTCCAATCACCACGTGTTGACATCTATGCGCTATATTATTAGGCCGCGAGCATTCCTCCCTCAACCACTCAGCGTGCGTTTTTTCTTAATCTTTTACAATTAATTTTTCGGTTATTATTGCGAATATCGCAAAACGGTATAAGACTTTTATGTTCACCTCAACCCATTCTACATTTCCACAACATATGCGAAAGAGACTCTGGGACACCCTGTATACCAGATACTGGATATTCGGTACTAATTTCTATAAAAAAAATTTCTATATTAACATTTATATAAGTTATAATTTTGCATATGATGGCATAAATATCGCAATAAAATACACATAGAAGTTTTTTTCCAAAAATCGATCATATGATGTCTTTTTCAAGGTATTCAAACCACGTAGCTTATAACAAAGTCTTTATTTTTTTCTTAGTCTTGGATATATAAAATATGCTAATAATTTTTAATTACTTTACTTATCGACTAAATTATATTTTAGTAACACAAATTTTTTTATATACTCGATAAGCGGTTAAATTAGGTTAGATTGGTATAAACATGAGGAACGTTTGGAAAATTAGCATGATGCACGACGCGATATGCGACGCGTAATATCCAATGAGCGTATACTTTTTCTGAAGTATCAGTACGATCATTGGATATTGTCCGTCGCATATCGCGTATTATGCTGATCTGAAAGAGTAGGTCACTCTGGCGGTACTGCAAGGCACGAGCCAAATATTGTTAAAAATAAATTTTCAAAAAAATTGTATTTTACAGAGTTGACTTAATAAAAAATAATTAGTTTGTTCCTAGAGAACTTTGGATTTCGAATCCTGCATCAATAACGCAAACTTTCAAACTTATACTAATAAATTAATATCCGGTTATCTGGCCGGATATTAATGAAATCCGGCTATCCGGTCGGATAATAAAAAGGGGCCGGATATCGGATACTTGCGGGATATCCGATACATCTCTAGTCAATAGTACTATCATACGTTTTACTTAAAACCTGAGACATGTTTTTGTATGACACTAATTCTAATAAAATGGGACACCATGTATATTTAAACAATTTGAAAAATTAAATATATTAAATAGAAATAGGAACTAATCAATTTTGCTACTTGAAGATATCTTAGCATTGAATTAAAGCAATAATATTGCCTGATAATTGCATATAAATATACACATTGATTCTAATTTAATATTTATATCTAACAGATAATGGATTCTGACAGACGATTGCTCAAATATATTCAAGAATTCAAAAAAAGATTGGAATTCCCATCAGAAGCAATGGAGGTCGATGCAAATGATGAAAGTGAAAAGGAAAACTAGTTTGTTTTCGTCTTTAAGAAAAAAATCTTTATCTTTTGTCTTAGAACTTGGCACGCGTTACACATTTCAATCTATTTTCGACTTACTTTACCTAGCAATCTTTAACCTTCAATAAATGGCCACGAACATTTGAGCTATGTCCCACGTGTTAATCTACAGTTACTAAAATTCCAGCATTTCTAACAAATTCCTCCAAGGCTTGAAATGTGAATTTGCAGTTTTCAAAAGTCAGATAACCAGGCTAAAAGATAGGAGATGTCTCAGATGGCAGAGTTTTCCACCTAACGATATCAAGAGATGCGGTAGCGTCAAGTGAACGCGCAAAGCGAGGAACGGCGTGAGATCGGCTGCGTATATTTACGCCGACTAACGCCGACAAGATTTCAGGCAAGATTCCTCGTTCAGCTATAACCGCTAATCGGACGAATTTCTGAATAGGCTCTATCGATTCCTTGGGGTCGATTTGCTTAATAAATCCTCTTTATATTTGTCTTACATGGTTCATGAGAGGAAATATTTTAGTAGAAAGTCCGAAATGGCAAAATTTTACGATTAAAAGGATGCTGAAGTGAATGATGAATTCGCTAAGCGTCGATAACGTAGAGGCGATCATCAAATAGGCGCTGACATAATGCCGCTATTTTCTTTTTTTCATATATGCATAATTTCTACATATAGATATATGAATGCAAGTGTGTGTGTGCTACGTTGTCATTTCAATTTTCTTACACATAGACGTTACGTAAATGCGGATGCTTTTCTGATAAATTTTTCAAACCGCCTGTGTATTGGGTGAATCAAAGAAAGTTTTTTTAGAGAAGTTCTACGCATAAATGCAGTTTACGAATATTGTTTTGAAGAATATGTTATCTAATATGTGAGCTTTCTATATAATTTGCAATGGAAATTTTAGATATTATTTTAGTTATGCACTGAGCAATGTTTCACTATATTTTCGCACGTAATTTTATCTTATAAATTGGAGCAGTAAGTGCGCTGTAATTTTTGCAAAAGGAAATCAGTGTCACGATGGCAAAAGTTCCACATCGTTTTCATTTCTGAGTGAGGAATGATCTACTTCATTTTTGCATGTACTTTCATCATACAAAAGAATTTTAATTCGGTCAAGTCAATACAAAGTAATATTTGTAGGAAAATCTCGTTGACGTGATATCGACAAAACTTTCGTCGTGCTGATTGTACTAAATTAAAAACTTTGACATGGTGAAAGTACATGCAAAAATAAAGCGGAGCATTCCTCAATATAAGAGGAAAATGATAAGAAAATGCTATCATAACAAAATTACCGAATTCTTCTGCAAAAATTACTTCTTTCTATATGCGCTGAGTTAAAAATCTTTTTACATGATGAAAGTATGTGCATAAATGAAGCGGAGCGTTCCTCAATATGAGAGGAAAATGATAAGGAATGGTTACTATCATGACACCGAATCTTTCTGCAAAGATTAGTTCTTTCTACATGCGCCGAGTTAAAAATCTTTTTGCATGGTGAAAGTACGTGCGAAAATGATGCGAGGCATTCCTCAATATGAAAGGAAAACGATAAGACACAGTTATCATGAATCTTTCTGCAAAGATTAGTTCTTTCTACATGCGTATTGACTTGATCGAATTAAAAATGCTTTTGTATAGTGAAGGTATATGCAAAAATGAAATAGAGCATTCCTCACTCAGGGATGAAAACGATGTAGAACTATTGCTATCGTGACACTGATTTCTTTTTGCAAAAATTACAGCGCAATTACTGCTCCAATTTATATGATAAAATTGGGTGTGAATATACAGGGTGTCTCACACTCTCATTCGGGCATTTTGTAGAGACGTAGAACAGGTTGAGGTGAACATAAAAGTCCTATACCGTTTTGTGATATTCGCAATAATTATCGAGATATTGTAGAAAACTTGTAAATGATCATGCAGAATATGGTAAATGAGTTATAGTAGCGACGACTGCCGTCGTGTACTTATTAGGTTTACTTAGGTCAAATTGAATAAAAAAGTCCTCTACCATTTTCCAAATAATCATATAGATTTTTAATTATTGATTAAAGAAAATTATTGCACAATTTTGCGTGATAATGCACTCATCTTCTTTAATTAATAATTAAAAATCTATGTGATTATTTGCAAAATGGTAGAGGACTTTTTTGTTCAATTTGACCTAAAGTATAAGTACACGACGGCAGTCGTCGTTATTATAACTCATTTACCATATCCTACATGATCATTCACAAATTTTCCATAATTAAGATCTCGATAATTATTGCGAATATCGCAAAACGGTATAGGACTTTTATGTTCACCTCAACCTGTTCTACGTCCCCACAAAATTCCCGGAGGAGAGTGTGAGACACCCTGTATAGTGAAATATTGAATTTTAATTTCTATTGAAAATTATATAGAAAGCTCACATAGATAACATGTATTCTTCAAAACAATATTCGTAAATTACTCTAATGCATATATTTCTCGAAAAAACTCTTTCTTTGATGCACTGAGAGAAAAATGTATGATATTTGGAATTATAATGGCATAGTAAAAAGATTATAGTTAGGAATATAATTTTTATAGTAAATTAATAAATTTATAATAAATGTTACCATAATATTTGTAATATTTACAATATAAGTATAATATAACTGACCCGTGTAAAATTTTTACCAAGAATTATAATTATTTGAAATAAAAAATATAGTAATGTAAGGTATTAAATGGTATAGTCTGTTTCACAACAAAGAAATAACAGTTTATTATTCC